TACCCAGATGTGCAAGCCTTCGATAGGGGGTTGGCTAAAGGGACCGGCCACCCTCCCAGCTGCAATTTTTTTGAATTTTCTTTCTGGCTATCTCTGGCATTTCCCTCACTGATTTTTGTTTGGTTGGGGTGGATCGCCCGGGTTTGGTGGAAAGGAGACTGGGATTCTAAAGCCTGAGGAAAACCCTTCCCAAAGGTATCTCGCTGCTATTTTATTGGGGTATAGATCTAATAGGGCTTTTAACAGGTGCAATTTGATAGGTGTGTGAGCTAGCCCAAGGGCCACATTACTGGAAGTTCCCGGAGGTCCCCTGCGGGTGTCCAAAGGTACCCCCTGCCGCCTCGAAAGGGCTGCTTTCCTTTGGGGCAGGCGGAGCCCGGGTGATTACCGAGGCACCTTTCGCATTCGTGTGCATACTTACATGCGGGTCGGGAACAGACCCCCCTGTTGAAATCCCAACATTGCCGACGTCGTTTTGGCTCCATCTTTCTCACCTTTGGAGAATCCTGGGATTTCTTCTTAACATATGGAGCTACATGATCCATCCAATAGTTCTCGTCCCTCAATTCCCAGCGAGTGGATGGCAGAAGTGCCGCGTTTCTACGGAAATCCTCATCATAAGATAAGGCGGCATTCTCCCCTGCTAGCGTAAAGGCCCTTCTAACATGTGCCATGTGTGCTATGAGATGCATAGCGCGTTTTGGATAAGCTGCGGAAACCACCCCCATGAAGACTTGGTAGCCATCTAACCAATTTTCAAAAGTACGCTCCGACTGCGGGGTTCTGTATCTCCGCTTCCCATAAATGCATTTTTTCTCCCCTTTACCTGTCAGGGGGAGGAGCGTAAATATGTCGATGTAGTGCCCATTGAGTATTTTGGTCCTCTTTTTCTTAGATAAAAGATTTCCCAATATAAAATCGGTCGACACATTGGTGGATGTTTTTACGTCTTCCACCAATGCCCCCCCTTTCCACTCCAGGGACCCGTTAAAGGACTTACGGTGGGAGTTAGCCCTCCTTTCGTGCACCCACAAAGGAAGTCCAGAATTATCCTCGCCCAAGCCCCAGTAAGCCTCCATGGGGGCGTCGCTATCCGAATCAGAAGAAGAGGTACCTGACCCGTCCTCGGAATCCGACTTCCTGCTTTTCTTTCCTTTTTTCGAAGTGTGTTTCTTCTTGGACTTCCTTTTCCCACCCTGCTGCTCAGCGTCAGCAACAGTCTGGGCAGCGGCCGGGGGGTCGTCATGGAGTCCCTGTTGTTCCTCTTTGTACGATGATACGGAATCTCCTTCCACCGACGTGAGCTGCTGCGCTGCTTCCTGAAAGAAACTGGGCACACCTATGTCCTGATGAGAATTAGTATTGCTAGACCTCTCAGGAGGCGCTCTGCCACCAGAGGAACCTGAATTAGACCAAAGGGAGCGAGCAGATTGAGAGCGAGTTATACGTGGTGACCCAGCGGCGGGTTCCGGTGGGGCTATGCCCGAACCAGAGGCAGAGGTACTTGGTTGTTCCTGATTACTGGGAAGGGTGCCAGGAATGTAACCTTGGGAGGCCGGCGGTGGTGCTGGTAGTGGTATGGCCCCTGGCCGACACTGCCTATAAAAGGTTTCAAATGCCGCAAAGAACTCAGCAAATGCTTGCGGGTTACACGGCATAACAGGCACCAATGAATTAGTTTGAGTGGCTTCCTTGTCCCCCTTGCGGGAAGATGCCTGTTTTTTACCAGAAGGCATGCTGGAAGGAGCGTACACCACCAGCACCTGGCTAGGTGACCTGGTCTGGCAAGAACTAATACGCAACCGTGCTCCCGCTAATCCTAATCCCAATTTTTTATTTTATTATTTTTTAATTATTATTATTTATTTATTTACTTATTTATTTATTGTTTTAAGGAAAATAAAATTAATTTTTATTTATTATTGTTGTTTTATTTTATTATTATTATTAATGTTTTTTATTTGTTAATTGTGTAATTTAAGAATTTATATAATGCACGTGTCACTAGACCCCTAAGCTTAGTTCAGTATTATATACCCTTTGCCAGGCGTTTGATTACAATGGTAAAACGCAGTAATTCCGCACTAAACACATTACCTGTAAACCTGCAGTCCTACACTCTATGTGATATAAAAGAAGGAAGTGAGCCACTATCAGCCTGCGTGTAAGATTGAGGGAATATCCAAGGAGGTTTAATTAAGAAGCCCCTTAACTGCCACTGTGAATAAAAGCTTAAAGAGGCAGTCCTCAATTGCCAGGACCAACCGAACTGTAAGCAAGTCCTTTAGTTGCCTTTATGAGTTAAGGCTTTTAAAAGCAGAGCTGAAATAACATAAGCCACAGTGATTGCCAATTGCACCAATCAATCAATTGCACCAATCAATTTTACAAGCAGTCAGCAAACAGCACTTTAAAACCAGCCTTCAGCACCTCCAAGGACCTTTAATTGCCTCTATGAGTTAAGGCTTTTAAAAGCAGAGCTGAAATAACAAGCCACAGCGTTTGCTAATTGCACCAATTAATTTCAAAAGCAGTCAGCACTTTGAAACCAGTACTCAGCACTTCCAAAGACTCTTATTATAATATTTTTTTTAAGTATTCCCCCCAATAAACCGCACTTTAAGAGCCTGTCATTCAGCAACTTGCTACAATAATAGATGCTCCCCTGTAATCCGGGAGCCAGCCAAGGGATCACAACAATGTAGCAGCCCAAGCAGGAGCAGCTTTGCCTGTGCTGGCAATTTATAAGAAGCGTCAGAGCTGCTGCTAAGAAGGAAGGGTAAAACAAATTTGCAAATACTAGGAGGAGGCAGCTTTATTTAAAGAGAACTGACCCTGCGGAGGGTGAATGCCTCTCCTAAGATGGCGGCTGCCTTTTTTTGACCACGTGGTTGAGTTAAAATGGCGCCAGCTAGCAGCGGTAACCAAGGCAACCGGAAAACAATGTTCTTAGTAAAGCACCCTGCGATCACTGCCTCCCGCCTTTCCTTTAAAAGTGACCCCGTTTTAAAGCTGGCCCCCCCTTTCACTCGTGCAAGGAAAATTTAGAATAAACGACACAATCAAGGTTAAAACCCTGAGAATGTGAAAGCGCAACAGGAGGAATTACCTACGATAGAAGAATGGAGAACTAAAATGATGGTTTATGCAGAACTGGACAGAATGAAAGGAAGGATCCGGAATCGAGGAGATCAAAGATTTACAGAAGATTGGGAAAAGTTTATCCAATATATGCAAAAACTGAGTGATAATAAAATTACGTTTGTAAGCTTTAAGGAAGCTCTGTGAGGGCAAAGGGTTAAAAGGGCAGAAATGTGTAAAAGGAACAATAGGAAGGAATGGCAGACAAATTGAGGGAAGTCAAAAAAGAGAAGTAAGATGTATGGAATATATAAATTTGTTTTTGTATTGGAAAACTAATAAAAATATAATATATAAAAAAGAGAATGTTAAAGCGCGAAATGAGCTGCCTACACTTTAAACCCTGGCCCCCTTTTACAAGCTGCTTCCCCTTTCACTCATGCAAGGAAAATTTTGAATAAACAACACACACAATGTTAAAAAAAAAACCCGTCACCAACCTCACACGGGGGCTGCAGCCTTACAGAAGCCACTGTATAATCCGCAAGTAAAATAGAGCCTTTGAATTGAGGGCTTAAAAAACCAGAAGATTGATCTAAAGTCTGCTCTTCGAACTCGCAAACCTGAAAAGGAGAGGAAAAAGAAGCCAAGCAAAGACCAAGCAAACAAGCTACAGAATCTAAAACACCAAGCACCTACAAAACCAGGTCAGGGGCAGCAGCGGAGGAAAAGAGGAGGAGCCGCGGCTGCAGCAGGTTTAAATAGCCGAGGCCCCGCCCCCGGAGCCAGCCGATTGGCTGGCCCGGGGTATGACACGGGCGGGGATTCCCTTAGGTATCGCGGGGGCTGGAGCCACCTCCTTGTTTATCGCGAAAGGGGCTTTAGCTAACCATTCTTCTTTAGTAGGTGCATGTACATCTTTCCAATGTTTTGCCACAATAATCCTTGGTGCTGACGTCGCATACATAAATACCTGAATTTGTTTTTAGGGATGTTATTTGGAACAATTCCTAGTAGAAATTCATCTGGTTTCTTGCTGAATGTAATTTCTATCAATCTTTTGTCTCTTCGTAAATCATATTCCAAAGTTTTTGTATCACTGGGCAAGACCACGACATGTGGTAGTGTGTTCCTACATGCTCCTTGCACCTCCAACACTTATTTTTATATGATTTGTTTATTATCGCCGATTTTACAGGGGTCAAATACCATCTATAATATGTTTTCATAAGATTTTCTCTTACAAGATAGCAAGCCGTAAATTTTATATTTTTACTCCAACTCCATAATTCCTTCCATTTATCGGATTCAATCATATGCCCCAGATCTCGCTCCCATTTTGTTATAACTTTTTAAATATCTTCATCTTTCCTTTGCCAATTCAATAATAATTTATAGATTTTTGAAAGAGGTTACTATATAATATGTCTAGCTCCATATGAGATATATTTATTTTTTATCAAATCCCTTTGTCCTTTTATCCTTTTCAAAGGTGGCTTTTAACTGATAATATTCCAACCAGGTTATTTCTTTCTTTTTCAATTCTCCTAGGTCCTTTAATTTTGGGTCACTCCTTATTTCCTCTACTAAGTCCTATATGTTAAACCAGTCCCTGTTCATATGTTTCCTATGTACAGCAAGAGATTCCATCGGTCAAAGCCACCAGGGTGTTTTAGTGACCACTGACTTTTTCCTTCCCTCCCAAACCTCATATAATGTTTTTTTCACAATGTGATTTAAGAATCTTTTGTGAAATTTAACCTTATCATGGCCTAGATGGCCATGCCACCCATACATGTTAACCCAGGATAAGGAAAGTCTACTGGCTCCCGAGGGATTTCCCCCCCCCCTGTCAAACAGCTCTTGCTGTCAGAAAGTTCTTCCTGAAGTTGAGTCGGAATCTCCTTTTTGTAGCTTGAAGCCACGGCTTCAGCTCGTGAGAGCTTCTGGAGCAGGAGAAAACAAGCACACTTTGACCCCCCTGATTTTATTTTTCTTAATTCATCTGCCTGACAACCCAGCAGCCTGGCCCCTGTTTGCCAGCTGATGTCACAAAGTGCCATTTTGCAAGCAAGACTTAAATTGCCCTGCAAGAGGGATGCCTGTGAGATGTTGGTGATAGACTTATCAACAATGTTGAGAGGAAGTTACTCTGAAGGTAAGAGGAGCTCCAAGGCCCATAGAAATAACATTATTATTACTACCATATGTGGTGGTCCTGTCTAGAGATACAAAGATTTTGGAATATGATTTATGAAGAGATAAAGTGATTGATAGAAATTACATTTAGCAAGAAACCAGAAGAATTTTTAGTAGGAATGGTTTCAGATAATATTCCCAAAAATAAAACCAGGTTATTTATGTATGCAGCGTCAGCAGCAAGGGTTATAGTGGCAAAACACTGGAAAGATAAAAATACACCCACTAAAGAGGAATGGGTAGTCAAATTGTGCGAGTCCTTGGAGCTCGCAAACTGACAGATGCGATAAAGAGATAAACCTAAAAAGATGGTGAAAGAAGAATGGGAATGTTTAAATAATTATCTAGGATTCATCAAGGTTATGTTTAGAATGATACCACATAGGGAAATGTTCCCTGATACCAAGATGAGGGATTCTATGGAATGCAGATAGAGAGAATTGATAAGGATAATGATCTGTTGTGACCTTGACAGAAGCGTACAATAGACGAGTCGTCTTGTGTTCAGGCTCATCTTTTTTTCCCCTTTCCCCTTTTTTTCTTTTTTCCTTCCTCCTCCTTCTTAATAATAAATTAATAATAAATTTTATTTATATCCCGCCTCCCCAGCCGAAGCCGGGCTCAGGGCTTCTTTCCTTTTTCCTTTTTCTTTTTTCTTTCCCATAATGGCTTATGCTCTATGCCATGTACTTTGATATTTTTGTAGTTTATTTTAGCTTTTTTCATTATTATTATTATTATTATTATTATTATTAAGGATTTTTCTTTTGTAATTTTGGTTGATTATATTTATCTGTATTGGTTTAAAGCAAAATAAAAGTATTACATTAAAAACATTATTATTATTATTATTATTATTATTATTATTATTATTATTAGCTGACCCATCACTGATTCGTGTGGCCTGGCTCCTGGCTTGCCTTGTCCACAGCTGTCAATAGCTTGGCAGGTCCCCAGATGATATTTTCTTTTGTGAATAACTGGTTGGTAACTTCCTCTGTTTTTATTTTCCTGTCTCACAGCTTCTGAAAAAGGAATGCCAGTGCAGGAACCATCCCGTAGGGAACCATTACAAGTGGTGGTATGTTAATTCCATGGGGAATCCATTCCCCACATGTGCCATAGAGGACTGGGGAGGGGAGCAGGCCCACCTCACCCCAGCCCCAAATAATTGGGGAGGGCCCAGGGGACCCCGGTGCCCTAGAGTGGATGCTTATGCCAGGAAAATGCAATGTCCTTTGTCTCTCCCAGGGCCATGGCTTGGGAGGAAAGGCTCCGGCCCACCACCACCACCACCAGAAGCAGCAGCCCCAGCGGTGCAAGGGGGAAACACCGAGTGTGCAGGTATGCTGTGATTTGATTTACCAATGGAAGTGGACCAGGGGAAGAAGTGGCTCTCCCGTTGCTGGGGGGTGGGGATTGCCATTTCCTCATGCCAGCAATGGGGACAGCCAGCTGGAGGAGGAAGGCCAGATTTAGATAGTCCTGTAGTTAACCCATATTTCTCCTAATTTCTCTAGGGATGAGGCTTCAGATCCGGCTCCCGGGACAAAGAGCAAGATACCATCCGGCGGTTCCCGGCTGAGGACCCTCGCGCC